GGGGGAAATCTGCTGAAAGCAAAAAGGTGAGACAAAAATTGAAGGGAGATTGGAGAATCAAAGGGATATCAGATGATGTTATGAAAACAATTAAAAAGATATTTTAATTAGTGATTTTAACGGGGATGAAATATTAGTGCATGTGATGTTCCTATTGGGTTCCAATGATTTTAATGACGAAGCTATGCCTCCAATATTTTAAGTCGTATGAAATATGAAAAGTATTGGAGGAAGCAATGCTTCAGTACATATAGATGTAAACACTGAAATGGTGAGAAGTTTTATTTGACCAAAAAAAAAAAAAAAAAGAGAAGTTTTAGAGTACCACTAGTGTGTTTCCTTGCTAAAAAAATAAGAATTAATGACGGATAAATTCTATAATTAAATAAATAAATTGGTCGCCAATTTTTTTAGTGATAGATTAACGACAGATGATCAAAAAATTTTATTACCTACGAGCGATTAGCGACAAAATTCGTCACTAATTCCAGTCTTTTTATATACATCTCCAATATTTTGTATGGAAAAAATACTAGTATTCTAATGTAAAATTTTCAATAGTACTAGAATGTAGTGAGATACAAAATTTCATTTTCATCTCCCATTTAGGATGTGTTTGGTACGAAGAAAAATATTTTTTATTGTTTGGTTAGAGTAGAAAATATGTTTTTTCCTCCTACCCCCTCCCCCCCCCCCTACCCCAACGTTACCCCTATTCGTTTTACTGTCGCCTCCTCCCTACCCCCCTCCCTACCCCTACCCCCCCCCCCGGTCCCAAATACCCAACATTTTCATGACTCTATTTTCTTCAAGATTTTAATTATTCTTCTAAATTCATACAAACCCAAAGGAACTAATGTGTTGCTAGGGGTGGCTCAATCGATATGGTGGCCAAACATTGATAAGAGGCCTAAAATATATTTATGTGAAATGGGAGGAAGGTTGGAAAATAGTTTTGGAAAATGTTTTCCCTTCTTTTGATAGGGAAAACATTTTCCTCCAATTGGAAAAAAATATTTTCCAAAATATTTAAGCCAACCAAACAAAAAAAAAATTATAATATTTTCTAGAAAATATGTTTTCCTTCAAACCCAACACACCCTTAATGTGGGTTAAAATAATATTTCTATCACACACAAAAATTCTGATTTGATTATTCAGACAATAATAAGGTGTCTAACCCTAAACACAAATTTGTACTCTATCTTAAAGATTTTTCATTAATGATGATTCTCCTTTATCATACTGCAGTATATTTTCTCAAATTGGACTTTGTAAAAAAACCATTACACCTACCAGTCCTAAGGCTAGGAGCTAATAAGGTTCAGGTATTGTGAAATAGAAAGTTTCATTTTCATCTTCCCATTTAATGTAGGTTAAAATAATATTAATCTCACCACACACAATAAAAAGAAAAAAATTAATTCAAACTAAGTTGTCTAACCTTAAAAACAAATTTGTACTCTATCATAGAGCTTTTCATTCATGAAGATTCTCCTATATCATACCACAATATATTTTTCTTTTCATTCCTTTTTAAATAAAATTCTATCATGTATCGTTAATTGGGACACCTTTTTATATTGTCCATATAAAAGATTTTGTTTAA